AAAGGCAATTGTTCTCAAACACCAAACTACAAAAGCCCAACTAGTATGGTAAACTGTCAAGAGATACACTCGCAAAACATTAAAACATTACTTTCCACTTACCAGAGGCATGGCAATGAGAGGTATCAACACCAGCTGCTGGAGCTGAGGCTTTCGACTTGAGAAAGCATGAACTGAGTTCTTGTAGGGGGAGGTGCTGATAGTAAGGTCTGGTTTCCTAACTGGTTCTTGATTTGTTCAATAAAGGAAATGGAAAGCCAGTTGTTGGGTAGAAGGGACTGGTGGAACTTCCAGGTCCCAGGAGGAAAAGCAGATGCAGGGAAAGAAAAGGGGCTTTTTTTTTTTTGGGACAACCTTTGAAAAGAGAAGCACGCAACAATTATGTAAGATGTTGGAGGTAGCTAGAACCAGCGGCCTCCGCCACTGGCGGATGGCTGATACAGGCTAGCTGATAAGGTTAGGGCAGAAGATTCTGCGCCCAGCAATTGTGCTATCTGGCAAGTTCTAAAATAATAAAACTGTCTGGTGTTTTTCGTCCTCTGAGCAAAGGTGGGCAGAGAGAGAGAGAGAGAAGCCGGGGCGGTAGCTGGTGGCTTCTCAAAGTTAGCTGGGAGGAACAAAAGAAGCAGAGCTGGACCGGTGGACCAGACAGCAGATCCCGACTTGCTGGGTTGGGGGATGGTTTCGATCCATGGATCCTGGGCTAAGCCGAATGGAGCAAAGGGAACTGGGAGATGTCAGAACACATGGTTTTAAAATTACATGCAACAACTTCTCCATGGAACTTCACCAGCAATGTACAGTTTAATGTAAAATACACAGTTTTCATCTCAACAACCGTACTTCTGTGAATTTAGCCTAAGTAATAACTGCATGCCTTTCTATAGACTTGTATAAGGAAAAAAATCTGGAAACAGTCTAGATATGTATGCGTGGTGGAATGCTATTAAGTAAGTTGTGATATAGATTTGTAAGTCAGTCACTGCCTGTAACTGCCGTTTCTTTTGTAACGGCCGTCAGGTTCTGTTACTTTGTAAAGGCCGGCCGGTTCTGCTGCTCCGGTCGGCAGGTCAGGGTCTAGCAAGAGAGAGTGGGGACGGAGGAAGGGGAAAAAAGGGGCGAGAGACGCAAAAGATAGATACAAGCCAGAGTCCGGTGGAGTCTCTTCAAGTCTTCTTTATTCTCCTGTCTTCTTACTATATTCTCACTCCTTCAGTCTCCTGACACCTCTCACTTTCTCACTCCTTCCTCTACTTCCTATTTCCTACTACCTCCTACTACTTACTACCTCCTACTTTCTACCTCCTTCTCCTCGACTCCTCTACTCCTCTACTCCCCTACTGCTCTACTCTCCTATAGAAGGGAAATCCTGGGTATTTATACCCTTTACCACGTGACTTGCCCTCGTGGACAATCTCAACTGAAGCCACTACGTCACGTGCCTTGTAGCCATGGATACCAGGAGCACCTGGCAGCTGGGGGCACTAAACAGTGTAACAAGATGTTTATCAGAGTGCGCTCAGCTATTGCAGGCTGTTGAAACAAGTCTCTTGTCAGGGTATATGGCTCGAGATGGCTGTAAAGATGATAGCCACTTTCGGCTAAGAGTCGGCTCCCAACAACTGCCGACAATGTCTAGGCAACACTGGTGAGTGGAAGCACACCACAAACCACACCCATAGACGGAATCCTTCTTGTGGAACCTCAAGGATGCTCTCAAAAGGTGAGCAGCACCATGGGCCACCACAGAACCATTCTTGTACCCAGAGCATGCAATGCTTTCAAAAATGAATTTGCTGTGGGCTGGAAAGTTGGTGAGGGTTAAGAGCATTTATTGCTCTTGCAGAGGACTCAAGCACAGTTCCTAGAACCCACATGGGGGCTCAAAACCATCCATAACTCCAGTGTCAGGGGGATGTAATGCTGCTTTCTACATGTGTGTAAAATACTCATACACAGGCTGGAGATAGCTCAGGGGTTAGGAGTACCAACTGCTCTTCCAGAGGTCCTGAGTTCAATTCCCAGCAACCACATGGTGGCTCACAACCATCTGTAATGGGATTTGATGCCCTCTACTCATCTGAAGACAGCAACAGTGTACTCATATACATAAAAGAAATAAGTAAATCCTTCAAAAAATACACACATAAAACAAATTTTTTAAAAACTGATTTACTTTATTGTATCTTTCACTGCATAAACTTGAACACAAAACCACACCCTCTCTCTCTTTAGAAACAAATGCCTGGCCTTAGACAATGATGTCATAGGCAGAAGGTCCTTAGACTGCTATGCCAGTGGATTTTTTTTTCTCCTGAGAAGAGAATAGAAAAATAAAAGATTTTGAAAATCAGAGTGAGAGTTTAGCAATCAAAAGGGATCACTGATTTCAAGATAAGCACATTGCCCTGGTCTACCTCAAGTGCAGCAATTCCAATCCTCAGACAGAAAACACTACTCTGTTTTCCCTAATTGGTCTCCATTGATTTTCTTGGTTGTTTGTGGCTCCTCTAGAAGTGATGGGTGGTACTCAATAGTCAAAGAGAGACAGACAGTTTCCGTCTAGGTAATATAGAGTCTCATAATAAGGTAATATAGTTTAAAGATGACATGATATTATTTGGATATATAAAAACATGGCTTTTCTAAAACCAAAGATACATTTGACGAATAGTCTCAGTAGTTATGCAAGGGCTGACAAGACTCAAGTCACAAATTTGCCTGCACAAGTTTCTCCGTCCTTGTCCCCTTCCCAGTGCCCCCTTTTCTTTCTTTCTTTTTATTTATTTATTTATTTATTTATTTTTATTATTTTGAGACAGGGTTTCTTTGTATAGTCCTGGCTGTCCTAGAACTAGTTTTGCAGATCTGCTTGCCTCTGCCTCCCAAATGCTGGGACTAAAGGCACGCGACACCACCACTCCGACTATTTCTCCCTTTAAAATTGGGACCAAAACCCTCTGACATTCCTACCACACAACACAGAATGTTGTAAAGATGGAATGAAAGACCTGCCTGTAGCACACAGCGAAGGATGTGGTCACAAATTACACACACACAGACACACACACACACACAGAGGGGTGGAGGAGAGAGAGAGAGAGAGAGAGAGAGAGAGAGAGAGAGAGAGAGAGAGAGAGAAAAGAGAGAGACCCCACAACAGCCCAAAGCAAGTATGATCCATGACTGAGCAACACTTCAATTCCAATTTCCAATCTGGAAGATAATTCAAAGCCAGATCAAAATGGTCCTCCAGGTTGGTGGGAAAAAACCTCCCACCACCCTCACATTAGGATGTAGCTATATTTAATTACATTTATCTTATGGTGTGTGTGTGTGTGTGTGTGTGTGTCCATGTGTGGGCATGCTCATGCCACAGAGCACAGGTGGCATTCTGAGGACAACAGGCAGGAATCGGTTCTCTCCTTCCAGTGCATGGGTCCCAGGGCTGCATCTCGGTCTTCAGCCTGCTCCACTTCTCTGGCTCCAGATCTAGCTTTAGTGAGTGGGCCTCACAACCCAGATCGGCACCGTGGTCTAGAGTGTCCTTTGTCTCAGGTTTTTTACTGCGTTTTTCCCAGGACACCCATGAGTTTCCTAAGAGTCATTCCCCACGTTGATTGGGAGCCCAGTTAAGGCGGGGAGAAGGTATTATCATGTAAAAATGCATTTTTCACACTGTGGGAAAACCATTTAAGAAGAACCATTTAAGAAGAACAGCAGGAAAATGAATGGAAGTTTTTGCAAATACCCACCACAAATACCCACCACCTGCTCCTGTTGGGTGTGTGCATAGAGCAGCTCTGTGTCGTCATTTGGAACAATCAGAGGAAATGAGAACGTTTGTGTGTTTGCTATGTTTGCAGCTGTGGATGGACTCCTTTTACATCTCTGTGCTGTACCACAGGCTGATAGTTTACTTAATATTTCGTCGGTTATTGAACCCAAGTTGCTTTTATCTCTATATATTAAACAAGTGAGATTTCTTCCTTTTAGTGGTAATTATGTTAAGTCCCCATGTAGACAACTTGGACAGTTATCCTAGAATGCAAAATTAGAGAGCTATAGAAATAATGGTCTTAAATTGCTATCTGTGGTTAGTTACCCGAAGGACAGAGGCCTTTATTACTAGCAAGGGCCAGCAGCTGCCATTGAGGACACTGCTTCCCTCTGTAGTTGAGGGGAACACAGGTTGGAGCAGCTTTGTGGACGGTGTGATGGTGTTTGAGTGGCTAAGCATCAGTGATTTCTAAAGAACAAAGAAGCTGATAACTTGGGCTCATGGATCAGGAGCCTGGGAAGCCCAAGAGCATGACACAGGCATCTTCTCGACTTCTGATGATGGTCCCTCAATGCTTCAAAGCACAGTGCATGCAGAAGGAAGGATGGACCCAGGAGTAATGCATCCTCTTGTGGTAACTAAGCCGATTCCATAAGGATGGAAGCAGTGTCTCCTGACATTCAATTCAGCTTGTAAAAGTCCCACTCCAATCAAATTTCACCAAGAGTTTTGTGGAGATAAATCACATATAAATTATAGCACCAGGTCCCCACATGGCAAATACCCCATGAGAGAGCAGAGAACACACCAGCCACAGCCCTGCTGGTGCACAGTTCTAGATCCACACTCTTCTGTGCTCCACCCTGAGTTTGTAAGCACGCCCCTTTCTTTCCCATGTTCTGAATTGTGTGTTTCTAGCAAGGGAAAGAGGGGAAGAGAGAAATCACAGCCTCGGAGTTGAGCTGTCTTAAGAGAAAAAGCTGGAGAATACCCAAGGGTTTTAAAAGTCAAACTTAATACACTTTCCTGTGTATCAACATGGACAGTAGGCCAGCCCTGCCTATAACTGACGTTTCATGGATGGTCTCAGTCATGGTTACTGGGGTGTAGGTAGGGTATGTTAATCACCGTTGTTCCTTATCCCCTAAAACTCATGTAGATGCTGACCGTGAACTGGATGCTGCTCGAACACTGTTCCTACATTACCACCATATCCAAATTTCTTGAGGGAGGCATTGAACGATTTTATAGATAATGAGTAAGAAAGGGGGGTGGGGAGAAGAATGGTCAAAATTACAGAATAGGTTTTTCTGGAAAGCAGGCATCACTTTTGGTCTCACACAAACAACTGGAATTGTATCAAAGCCACGAAGGGAACCTGAAAGAGTGGCCAGGCTATTGTACTTTCTGGTATGGGCCACGGACTAATCCTAAAATGCTTGAAACATTTATTCATATCAGTGTTCTCTATCCAGAGTCCTCTTTTATAAATTTCAGCCCAGACTTAAGCCCATCTCATTACCTATTGAGAAGAAAAGAGCCTGAACTAATAGTTGATGAACTAATTACAGGAAGATGCAGAGGTTCCACGTCCAATGTTTACGGGACCTGAGTCACAGGGTCTGTGGCCTGTGCACATCCAGCGTAAACGAGGCCTGACTCTCGGAGTCTGTGACCTGTGGTATTACGCTGGACATGAGTCTCAAGTGCACGGATATACAACTGATGCAGAAAGCATGAAACACACATAAACTGCTCCCAAGTTTTAAGATTCCACAGAGATGGCTGCCATCTTGAATTCAGGAATGAGGCCATGCTGGGATGGAGAAAGTTTCAGCCCCACACAAGGGCTTAGGATAGGAGCCACAGTGTGGATGGGCCTGAGAAGCTGTCAGAACATCTGTGCATCATCAAGTGAGTCTTCCCATGCTGAGCCCATCAGCCATCTAGACAAAGGGGGAGAGAAGGCACAAACACTGCACACCCTGCTGTTTCCCCGTGTGCAGCTCATACACATGTCCACAGGGCCCGGGCAGGGAAGCTGCACAGGAGACCAGCCTCCCTGCTGGACTGATGGGGTAGACATCCCTGCCTTTCTCCTCCCAGCTGCAGGTCAGTCACACCGTCTCCCTGCTGCCTGTGCCCGACCCTCCCTCATGCCCAGCTGTTCCGCATGACTCCCACCCCAGCCTCCCCCCAATTCCACTCATTCTTCAAAAGTGACAGTCTCACATACCACACTGCTGAGAAGGAGAGGAATGCAAGAACGGTCACAAAAGCCACGGAGCCCAGTCCAACACCCACCATCTGCTGCGCTGTGAGTGATGAGTCTGCGGGAAGAAACCAAATGATGAGCCCACAGTCCGTCCCATCACGGCCCTCCCGGGAGAGCCACATCCGACTGTGCACATTCTGTTTTAACCCAAAGCTGAGCTTCACTTAACAAAGAATCCCAAGAATGCCTCCACAGTGCCCCTGTGTCCCCAACAGCTCCTGTAGACTTCAGACCTCAGGAAACCACAGTTTCAAAGTATCAGGAAAGCATAAAATCAGATCATATTAAAGTTACAAGGGAAGAAAAAAAACCCACCAAACTTGTGGACACACCAAAGCTACGTGATGCACGCTGTGTGCAGAAAGATCCTTACTCGGGTTGTTTACACTTTGATAGATGGTTATGGGTCATTTCCTTCCACATGGAAGAAGTCAGTCTGATATCATTGGAACTCAGGCTTCAAAAATGTTAGTCAGTTCCAGTGGCCACATATAAATTAGTACCTTCTGTTGGGCAGAGTCACCCCCGTTTCACTACATTATCAGCAGGAGAGTACCACTCTACTCGGCCCCACAGACTCTTAAAGTCCATGTAAAAGTCCTTGGAACATGTGTTTCATTTAGCAAACATCACATGACAATTTCAGGGCGATCCCTGATTACAAATTGAAAAAAAAAATACCCACATTTGTGGTGCACATTTGGTCCAAGGGACTTAATTCGGAGTTTCATGACTCCGCCAAAAGCACTGCTTTTTATTGGAAAACACGTATTTATCAGTCTCTGAGTGGCACACATGTGTCAGAATCTCACACATGTTAACTCAGGTTCCTGTGGAGTTAACCTTGAATGTCAATTCGATTGGGTTGAGAGGTACCTGGGAAATTAGGAAAGTACACTCCAGGGTGTGTCTGTGAGACAGGGAAGACTCACCCTGAATACGGTCATCACTATTCAATAAGCTGGGGACTTGGATGAACGGAAGCAGAAGGGAAGGGCTGGCTGGCTTGGGCTTGCTTTCCCTCGCTTCCCTTCCTGGCTACCAGGAGGTGAGCAGCCTGCCCCGGCAATGGTGAGCTACCTCATTCAAGCCAGAGCAATGGATCTGGCTGACTCTAGACAGACGCCCCTGGAACTGTGAGCCTCCTCACATCCCTCAGTCGCCTAAACTGTTTGTTCATTTCCTGCGTTGTCATGATGAAAACTTAACTCACAGGTCTCTTAACGAGTGCGTATATTTCCTTTCTACAGGGGAGAGTCGGAGGCACAGAGTAATTAAGCACAGCTCAGATATCTACAACCAGTTTAAGAGCAATTTAGTTCCGGAGGAAACCCTGTGAGATCCTGGGCACCTGCAAGCACAGGCATGGACCACTTTTAATCCACACTATTGGGAAGTTGAGGCAGGAGTAACACGAGGCCAACCTGGGTTGCACAGTAAGACCCTATTTCAAAATTACAACAAAAGAATAAAATTATACTTTTGTATGTAGAAGAAGAGGGCCTCGACATTTTAAGATGCTAAACTATCAAATGGAAAGCGGCTAGTGAAGAAATTGGAATTTACTTGTATGTTTTATATGAAAAGACTTGATTATCAGCATATTAGCATAGTATTATGGAATATTAGCATAGGAAAGAATATGCTAGAACAAAATACAGTGCACAGGAACAAAGCCAATCCCACCAAGCCATCTCACAGCTTGAAAACTGGAATGAGCATGTTCTTGTCCTATCTCCACACCGTCCCTCTCTACCAGTGGGACTTCAAACCAGCTCATCAGCCATTGCCTGTTTCAGTTTCCACACTGAGGGATGCTCTAAGCACACGGAAATCCTAACAACAGCACCCACCTTCAGGGTTACTGTGAGAAATAACGGTTTGCCAATAGCACCAAGGAAACGTTAGCAAATGTCAGCTGCTGTTAACTTTTGTTACCACTGTTTGGTAACTGTTTCAAATAACTGAGTGAAATGATTAATGACCTATATCTGGCAAGGAGGAAAAACATGGGTAATTAGAATAAAGTGATTACAGCTTATTCCATACATCAAAATAAAATGCAGGTAAAGACATAAGTTAAAATATGAAAGAACTGGTAAATGTTGTTAAATATTTATATAATCTTAAAGTGGGTGGGAATTTTCTGGTTATATTTATTAAAGTGGGAGCCTTACAGGCAACCATATTCGAACGTGTATATTTTATATACACAGAACTACTATGAGCAAGGGTAAAAAGCATCATTTGCACAATTAGTGAGGCTTTGGGTTTTTAAGAGAAAATGTCCCCAGCACTCGAGAGGCTGAGATAGGAGGATCTCTGAATTTGAGGCCAGTCTGCTCTACAGAGCAAGTTCCAGGACAACCAGGGCTACACAGAGAAACCTTGTCTTCAGACAAAACACACACACACACACACACACACACACAGAGAGAGAGAGAGAGAGAGAGAGAGACAGAGACAGAGAGAGACAGAGACAGAGAGAGAGAGGGAGAGAGACAGAGAGAGAGACAGAGAGACAGAGACAGAGACAAGGAAGGAATACAGCACTGAGATGGAGATACGGGGGTTAAAGAGATTCTGGTACTTTTAAGCCTGAAGTACTTCATGCAACCAACCTTTCTTCCTCCCCAGTTTCTGTTATCAGTATTTTCCCTTTAACTTCCCCACAAACTTCCTCCACACTTTAATCTTTGATGGATGAAAATGCTGAACTGAAGGTCCTTGGACTGGAGTCCATGTCCCATGAGTCCTGGATTTGCTGTTCATTCATCAGGAGTTACTCGTTAGCTAGCTGATGTCGGTTTTGCATTGTTCTCCAGCCCATTTCTAGGCCTATCCACAGCCCTCATATGGCCCACTCTGTCCACAGGGGTATTGTTAACTGTTAGCAGAAGTCAAAAGACACTGCTTTCTGCCCTGCTTCCTTGGCCAACTAGTGAGTCTGCATGAGGAGGAAAGTGGAGACACCCAGGGCATCATGCGTCCCACACTGACTCATTAGAAACTCTGTCACTGCCGATATGGGTGAGAACCAAGCCATCACCTGGGCTGGCCCTGACTTCAAGCTACCTTCAGAACACGTTTGGTGGCGCCCTGTTTGTACAAAGTCCTTGTCTACTGCTCAGCCCTAACCTTCTCTTCCAAGACTCATAAAGGTTGTCCGCTGTTGTTATCTGTCTTATTCGAAAATTGTGTGACTCTGTTCTGACGTGCTTTATACAGGTGGAAAGATACTGACACCCCTCACAATCCAACAGGACAGAAGCAAATAGGACCCGAGGACGCCAACTTTCCCCAGACCATCCACCAACAGTATCTACCTCAGCAGTGAGCCATGCTAGTCCTTGTGGTAGACATTACTATTCAAAGTTAATGTTAAAAAGTGACCTTTGAGTTGGTGAGATGGATGACTCAGAGGTTAAGACCACTGGCTGCTCTTCTGGATGAGTGGAATTTATTTCCCAGCACCCCTGTTAACCAGCAGCTCACGACCACCTGTAACTCCAGCTCCAGGGCATCTGTCACTCCCTTCAGACCTCTGAGGGAGGGCACTGCTCTCATAAGGCACACTCTGACACACGCAGGGTCACACATTTTAAAGAAATAAGAAAGTGCCCTTAATTTTTGCAAAGCATACTTGGATTATGGCTCCCAGCACGGTTTCCAGTCCTTGGCTATAGGCCTCTCGGTTTGCTTCTCATACAAACCTCACAATCTACAGCATCACTCATGGGTGTGGCTGTACAGTTTCTTCCTCTGTGAATGCCTAATAAAATTTACAAGTGGCCAATTTGAATGATAGGGTTTTTTATGGTCTTGCCCTTCTCTGGCTCCCCTCCCTTCCAGTCTCATGCTGTGGGACCTTTTATTTTCCCTCTGAGTCATCCGAAGAATATTCTCTTAGAAACTCAGCCGAGGGATCATGTGCTGTTAGTCACTCTTAGAGAAAGTAAATACATTTGAACCACAATCCTCTCTACAGAGACTCTGCTCTGGAGTAAACCCGGCCTCTCTTTAATCTTTTACTGATAGAAAGGCCACAGGTGCTGAAAAGGAAGTTAAACCCTGTGACAACTTTGACATCTTCCTCTGGGTGCGGGCATGTTGTTTTCATGTGTACACAGGTACAGTCATTTCCTGAGAGCAACTGTTGCCATCAAACAGTAGAAATGAATTACTGGCATGACTCGGTCTGGCTTGGGACACATCCAGAGGGCAGCTGGTGCGTTTGTTTGAACACAGAAGAATAAGGAATGATTTAGTGTGTCCTTTTTTTCTGTGTTATTCTAGGGTCTTCTTTATCTGACTTCACTGTGGGTGACACAGAAAAGGGGAGCGAAGCAGGAGACAGATTCAGAGGTAATGTCTGATAAAGCAGCAGCAATGCTAAACTCATTTCAGTGTAACCTAACATACTGCTCGGCTACAACCCCCCACTAGCTCAGTCCTGTGGTTCCAGGTTCAGGCACACTAAGACAGGTTCTCTGTTCAGCATCATTACAGGGCTGGACTCGGAGTGTCTATGGGTCACCCTCCCATCTGGAGGCTCTGGGCAAGAATGCTGGAGTTCATCCCCACTGTCAGCTAAATTCAATCCCTTGAAGTTGCAGAACTATGGTAGACTTTTCCTTATGATCTGTCAGCAAGGTCTGTCTCAGCTCCTGCGGGCCACCTGCACTCCTCGCCATGTGGCTTTTCAAAGCTAGCAGGAAATTTCCAGTGTCAAATATGTCTCACCCTCAGGATCTTCAAAACCTAAGTTGTGACCTGTAGGCTCAAGTTCAATGGTTTGTGTGACAGGTCAGGCCTACTGGAATAATCTCCTTGCTGAAGACTGCATTCTCAAAGTGCGGCCTCCACAGCATCACTTAGAACAGCCTTTGACTGGATAACCAGATAAAAGAGAAAGTGTGTGTGTGTGTGTGTGTGTGTATGTGTGTGTGTAAGAGAGAGAGGAGAAAGGGAGAGCGCCCCAATATCCCTAGGGAAGCCTTTAGAGAGATAAAGAGAGACAGAGACAGACAGAGACAGAGGGATACAGAGAGACAGAAACAGAGACACAGAGAGAGAGATCGATCCCCCAGTATCCCTAGGGGATTAGCTCCAGAAAACCCTCCCCTAAGAAAACAGAATTTTTTAATAAAATGTGTTGTGACTTTGCTCTGTCTCCGAATTACTTAGAATGGTGGAAACAATGTAAATGCTATGTAAATGCCTGATATACTATGCTGTTTAAGGAATAATGACAAGGGGAAAAGCCAGCCTACGGTCAGCACGGCGGCCACCGTTTTTCAAAATATCTCAACCTTCAGCTGACTGAAGCCACAGATCCCTGAAGACAGCTGACCGACTCCGGATACCCACACATCCACCTTATGCTTGTAGCTTGCAAATTTTCCCTGCTTATTTAATTTGACAAGTATTAAGTCTGTCCTGCATTCTTCATAAAACTGATGGCTGCCTACCTGCTGGATTCAATGTACTGTGAGTGAGTGTCTAATGCACGCTGGGCAATGGTCCAGTTTTGTTTTCAATATTCTCCCCAAATGTTTGAAACCTCACAGAAAAAGATTATTACCAGCTGCTCCGTAGCACGAGAGAATAGCTAAAGAAAAGGAGACAGAAGGGTGACCCTGAGGAGCTCTGAAAGAAGGGAAGAGGATGTTAGGTTCCATCTTAAACGGTGGAATTCATCAAGCAGCCCCTCACGGGGAGGTGACCGGGAGTGATCAAGTCACTGTGTGAGCAAAGACATTGGACACCCGTAGGAATCGAAAAGAATCAGTGGGTGTGCTGGTGTCAGAGGCCTCAGGCAGAAGACTGGGAAGCAACGGGGAATCCTAGAAGAGCTACCAACGGAAACACTAGAATGAACAGTGCAGTTCAGATGTGGTCAGGTAGCCACAAGCTGGGATAAAGAGGGAAAACCTGAACCTGTGTGTTGGGAGATGAACCAGGAGGCTCTGCCACCTGTCTGTGCTACAGGGATGAAGGCCTGAGCTCTGCGCAGATAGAAATGAAAGGCATGCAGCATGCAGACTGAAAGAAAACCGGGGAGTCACCAATGCCTTGGGTTTCATGCCTGTGCCTGGAGAATGTTCCCTGATTATAGCCTGCCAGCATCTCAATGACTCAAGAGATCACAGACTCAGTACTTTGTGGCTGGAAGGAATCTCAGCCCAGGCAGAGGCAGCTGAGGACTAGCTAAGTTAAAAGCCATTTCAAAGACACTGTCGGAGGTGAGGATGCTCAGCCCTCTGCATTTGACATCAAATGCAACTCCCTGGCTATCAAGCTTTTTAGTGGTGGCACCGTGAAAAGGTAAATACAAAACTCAGCACTGGGCAAAAGCCAGAAGAGTGCCGAGCACTGTGCATCAGGGACTCAAAGTGATTTGGGGCCTGCATCATGCATACTCCTCTCCAAATTACCTAACTGGGATCCTGGTTAGAGTTTCTATTGCTACATGAAACACCATGACCAAAAAGTAAGCTGGGAGGAATGGGTTTATCTAACTTACACTCCACATTGAAGTCCATCACTGAAGGAAGCTAGGATAGTAACTCAAACAGAGTGGGAACCTGGAGACCGGAGCTGAGGCCATGGAGGGGTGCTGCTTACTGATTTGCTCTCCATGGCTTGCTCAGCCTGTTTTCTCATAGAACCTAGGACCACCTGTCCAGAGATGGCAGCACCCACAATGTGCCAACCGTCTTCATCAGTTACTAATTAAGAAAATGCTCTACAGGCTTGTCTACAGCTTGATCTTACTGAGGCATTTTCTCAACTAAGTTTCTCTCCTCTCCAGTGTCAAGTTTACATAAAACTAGCCAGCTCCTTCATTTCTCTCTCTCTCTCTCTCTCTCTCTCTCTCTCTCTTTCTTTTTTCCTTTCTTTCTTTCTCTTTCTTCTTTCTCTCTCTCTTCTTCCTTTCTTTCTTCTTTCTCTTTCTTTCTCTCTTTCTTTCTTTCTTTCTTTCTTTCTTTCTTTCTTTCTTTCTCTGTCATCATCTTATGATCATCATTTGGGTTTTTGAGACAGGGTCTCACCATGTAGCTTTGGCTGGTCTGCAACTCACTATGTAAAACAGGCTGACCTCAAACTCAGAAACTGACCTGCCTCTGCCCGCCAAGTGTTAGGATTAAAGGTTCTCAGTAATGATTCTTAAATTAAGGGTGTGGAGAGATGGAAAATTAGAAAAGCCACTCACATATTCTCAAAATCCTTCCTATTCATCTCAGAAGACCAACTACAGCCTCCTCTGTGTCTTCTGCCTGCTTTGAATGCCTCCCAATCATCTCTGATAGTTTTTGGATAGGGTAGATTCTAGAAGTTTTGTCTGTGTCTGAAAGCACACCTTATTCACAACTATACTTTCCTTATATGCACTCTATTCTGTCCCTGGAGCTTCAGGGTGTGCACTGGCACACACTGAAGGTGTTTTGGATGTTGGAATGTATGCTTGTTTCCTGTACCTTTCATTAAACTGCTTCAGAAAAGAGCCTGGCCACAGCACACATCTCTGTTAAGATGGCGATCTAAGATACAAGCTGCCGGATAACTCACCTGGCCCAGCTCCAAAATCAGCTTTTCTACTCTTGTAAGTTTGAGTAGAGATAAAAAGGTGGAAAGAAAGATGAGGAGAGAGGCAGACAGACAGAAGCCTCGTTCCCTGAGCCCCTCCTCCACATGCCCTGCTCAGGCCCCTTTATAACAGAATGCCCATTGTAAAGTCTATCCACCACAACCCTAACCGAGGTCACCCGGCCTCATACTACAGCGTTGTCTCCTGTGGCTATGCTCAGGATGGGCTGTAAGGAGTTAAAGGGACACTTGTGGGCTGAGGGCAGCATTCCTCAGCCTATTGCCAGGAATAGGTCCATACTCAGAGGTTATAAATTTAACAAGATTTCTGGAGTTAGGCACAAACTAATGGAATAGCTGGGAATCAATTCCACTGGCTGGCTGCCTATTTTTTTAAACAAACGTCCTGCCTCGGAAGCCTGACAAACAAGGATCCCTGATTACTCGATCCTGAGGCAGCTTCCCAATCCCTTCCTTTGAAAAACCCTGTTCATGGAAAGGGAATGTTCAAAATGCACGCCTTGTCAGCAAGAGCCAGATCTGGAGCCAACGGAAGGAGAGCTGCCCCATCAGGCAGACCAAGACAGGAAGCCTGAGTGATCACATGCCCAGGCTGCTGCCAGGAGAGCGAAGGCTTTCCCTACCCAGCGGGGGGTGGCTGCTGTCAAGGGCACTGCTTTTTGCCATTTGATGTCATATACTAAAGTTTGAGAATTATTCTGTCTTCCATGTATCAGAGTTGCACATCTGGACCTGATCAAGAAAAATATACAACCCCTGGACTCTTGGCCTTGGAGTTGGATGCAGCAACCAACCTTTGAACTCTGTTCTTTTCCTGCATTCCTTTGGGGGTTTTGTCTTATTTTTTCCCCTAGATGTAGGGTAGTTCTATTCTGTAAATAAATTATTTTTATTAATATAATTATGCATCACTTAATAGTGGGGACGATCCTGTGAAATGTGTCAGTATGTAATTCCTCATTGTGCAAATATCACAGAATGTTCTTAAACAAAATAACATGCGTAGCTATGTCTCTAGCTGACACAAATTCCCCCCGCCCTGTTTTAGGCAGAATCCTGTTATGGATCCCAGGCTGACAGTCACTGTCCTCTGACCTCTATCCCTAAGTCCTGGGATTCAGCCACATACGGTTTACGTCACGCTCTAGGAGAGGCTATCTTTTATGCCTTCTCCTATATTTGTGGGCCACTATTAAACTCAATTGTCATTGTTCATACGTGACTGAGTGTGTGCACACAGGTGTGCATGGTGTACCGCCAGACAGCAGGTCTGACTGAGTGTGTGTGGGTGTGGGTGTGTGTGTGTGCATGGTGTACAGCCAGACAGCAGGCCTCGGGCTTCTAGAGCTCTTCCTTTGGTCTACACCCAAGCTTCCCAGCACCCTTAGTCTTGATAAGAATCTTTGTGTCACTCTGGTGGAACAACTGCCCTCTCCCCAACAAGCTGTATACAACAGCCTACATGGACTGATCACTATCTCAAATCCAGGGTGCCTCAGCCAATGGCATGCCACCCAAGCTAGGAGGAAGAACTCTCTAAACTGTAAAACTTTATTACCACTGAAGTTATTCATCTGGGTGTCTAGGGCTCGTCTCTCCTATCTTACGGCCATAGGAAAAACTGACACTGTCACAGGAGATTTGGGAGGCTAAGAGCAAGGATAGTCGCATTCCTGGCTCTTTATATAATTTCAGGAGCTCCCATCTCTCCAGTGATGGTTCAAAGACAGCATACCCTATGGCATGAGAATGTCTGTAGTTTTCTGAAGATACCTTAACTTATATGTCTGTCACCACCTGCAACAATTTAAAGAAAGTCCTCGGTATAGGACTGGTGCTGCAGGTTAAACATGGGGGAAGGGCAGCGTGCATAGGGAGAGCATGGCCTTACCTTTTACCTCAGCCCAGACAGCACAGGAGTACCTTCTCACCTGGAAGGGAAACAGAGTGTCCATCTAAGTAGGAGACACGGGGCACCATTTTAAACAGTAAAATGCAGTTGCTAAAGCCCTCTGGTTCTCACCCTCTTCATACCCTAATTTGAACCAGAAAACCTTTAAAGTCCCATCTAGCTTTTCATAAGTGTGTGTATTTATGTTTTGTGTTGGAAGAAAGTGTTTTCAACTTCATCTCCTAAGAGATTAATATCCAAATTATATAGAGGACTCCAAACAACAACAACAAAAGAAATCAAACAAGTCAGTTTAAAAACTAGTAGCTGGGTGGTGGTGGTGATGGTGGTAGTGGTGTGTGCCTTGAGGCCTTAGCAGGTGGATCTCTGATTTTGAGTCCAGCCTGATCTACAGAGCAAGTTCCAGGATGGGAGGGCTACACAGAGAAATTCAGTCTCAAAACCAGACAAACAAAGACAAAAAACAAAGACAAAAATTAGTAAAGAACTTGAATAGATCCATGTCCTAAAGAACAGAATGCCACCAAGCCCACGAATAGATGCTGAACACCATTAACCTTTAGATGTAAATCAACACCACCTCATGAGGTGGGACCCCTCGCACCCATTAGGGTGCCTATTACATTACATTTTTGAAGTAATAGTACTCTGAACTTTAACTTGCCAATTCTTGTTTTGTTGTTGTTGTTGTTGTGGTGGTGGTTTTTTGTTGTTTTTGGTTGGTTTTTTTTTTTTTCGAGACAGGGTTTCTCTGTGTAGCCCTGGCTGTCCTGAAACTCACTCTGTAGACCAGGCTGGCCTCGAACTCAGAAATCTGCCTGTCTCTGCCTCCCAAGTGCCGGTATTAAAGGCGTGCACCACCACTGCCCAGCTAACTTGCCAGTTCTTAATCCCTATATTATTGTTACAAAGTAGTTTTTGGCCTCTGCTACTCATACATAATCTTAAAAGGTAAGCCTTGGTTTGCTATCAGCATGCCAGTGGTACATCAGACTTCTGTCCTATGCAGAATTTAATAGATGCCTGTTTTAAATATCAAGAAACGTATAGTCAAGATGGCTACATACTTTTGCTTCCAATGTATCAGTCGAGAAATGTTTCGTTAGGATTTGTGTAATTTTCCTGGTTTCCAACCCACATAATTTTACACCAAGTTTAGAATTCTCCTAGCTTTTCAGCTTGTTACAGTTGCTAATTATTGAAAGAAACCCAGCTTTCCGAAGAGTGGAGTGGACAGGGTTGGGCCTAAGAAACCTAAGGCTGTACTGAGAGTGGGTTTGCCACTCCCTCCTCCTGCTCCCCTGGAAAATGAGGGAAGGCAGCATCCTGGGAGAGCAGAAAGGAAGCCGCCAGAGCTAAGTATTCCTTTCCAACTTGAACTTTCGAATTCTGGACTCACAAAGCTTGAGGCACACTCAGAACAGAACAGTCCCACTAGAGATGCAGTGAGGACCTCAGAAGTGCGGCTGACACCTATGCAGGTCTTACCTACCTACTCATTAGAAAGTCTGTGCTCACATGGCACAACATGTTTCTGTGCTTATTCCATGTGGTGTCCACCGCCAACACGGGAGAAGGGTAAATGCAAACAATTTAAACCTCATAGGAAAAGGAAAATACAGAGGTCAGAACATCGTCGAAACAACTATACCTTATTCCATTCACTTGCGATCCGTAACAGAATGCAGTACTCATTTCCTGTTTTCAAAGGAGCATTGTAATATTCCCCGTAGTACAGCCTGTCTCCAATAGATATCTCCAACGTGTCATCTGGAACATCCCTGGCCAGGATTTCTGCAGCCACATATCCATCAGCAGGAGAAGCGTTGCCAAAGAATGAAGTCATGCCTTCAGAATCACAAGAAAATGTGCTTTGCAAGGACAGGGGAAGGACCAACACCTGATATGAACTGGGAGAGGGGAAAAAGCAGAGAAATTTGGCAGGGGCCTTGTGAAGAACGGCTATCTCATTCATCATCAGGCCCCTGACCAGATGTAAATGTTATAAGGCTCACGGGCTGCTTGTTTGGAGGACTGTGTATTCGTCTCCACTGAACTCACACTGTGCAGTAAGCACCTTAAAGTCACCAGATCGGACAACAAAGACTGCTGGCTACATGGGATTTAGTGTCTGGCAGTTCTAAGTGCCATGGACCTCCACATTTACCCGCAGCCAGATAACAAGCCAAGTCCCAGCTTGAGGCCAAGCACAGCCTCCCTAGCTGGGAGAAACTAGCAAATGTATCACTCCCTTGTATCTGTCACATGGTTGATCTGATCGGCAGTGTGTCACATGGGCAAGTAAAGTCTAGCACTGGGGAGAGTTTAAAAGTCACATGAAGGCCAAGCACCTACGAAACTGAAAGTGCTGCTCAGTCTGAAGGGCGTCTCCAGACAGTCATGTGGTGACTTAAAACGACTCATATGATTTACATTCCCCCACAGTTCAGAGGCTGACACCAAGGTTCACGCCAAACCAATGAGCGGTCAGGAGTAAACAGTCACCATGAGTTAATCAGGGCTGACAAGATCCTGGAAAGGTAAAGTAGCCTATGGATCTGGTGAAAGTGTCCCTTAAATAAGGGCACAGAAACACACTAACAATCAGGTGTAAACTTACTAATATTTGTCCACCGAAGAGAAAAGCAGCTGATTGGAAGAAGCAGAAGAATGAAATGCACCTGGTCAAACCGTGTCTCCCTTTCCAGTCCTGTCAGCTCAGTCTTTATTTCTGGTATCATAAATGTGTGACCATGTCCTATCTCTACTGACCTTGATAATGGGGTGGGGGTGGGGCTACAGGACTGCCTCTTGAATCTGCAGGTCCTTTCACATTTCTTCTTCTTTTTAATTGTTTATTTCTACTTTATGTGTATTGATGTATTGTCTGCATGTATGTCGGATCCCCTGGAACTGGAGTCACAGACATTTGTAAGCTACTATGTGGGTGCTGGGAATTGAACTCAGGTTCTCTGGAAGAGCAGCCAGCGCTCTTAATTATGAAGCCATCTCCCCGGCCCCCCTTTCACATTTCTTCAGTTATGATCAACTCCTCATAAATGCCAGTTGAGTTGAATTTTCAATAGAGAAAAAAATGCCTGGACCAATACCAAATGTGATTAGGGTGATTTCCAAAGCTCATCAGGCCACATAATTCTATTTTATTTGGGCTTCCTGTTCTACTTTGCTAACGCCCCATTTCCTGCTCCCTGAAAGCACATGCATCACTTGGTGAAGGAGAGGGGAGCCCTCCCCACAGTAGCTGTTCTTCTTGGAAAATCTCCAGCCACCTGCTATATACTCAGCCATGTTAGGTGAGGGCCCTGATTTCCGCAGAGTCTGGGCTCACTTTCAGAAAAAAAGGGATTAAGTAAAACCTGCAGGGTAACAAATAGTCAGCATCAATAAAGCTGCCTTTGGGGAACACCTGGGACAGCTTTTCTGGGGCCTTGAAGGTATGGTGACCATGGGCAAGAAGCTCCACACTGACTCACCCTGCCTGCTAACTGGAGTTTGAGGCTCACCTGTACCCTGTTGATTCTGTACACTGCCTGTTATAGGCACCGTTCCCAGAGCAGGAAGCAGCTTCCTAGTTAGCTTGGTAAATATAAAAATTCCCAGGTCCCACCCCAGACCTATGGGATCAAAGTCTCCTGGACTAGAGTTGGGAATGCTGGCTGCTGATAAAGCATGCCAGCTGATTCTGGCTAGCTGGTAAGGGTAAGAGACATCATCTCATGGGAGTCCAGGGACAGGTCTGACCATCTGCCTGAGCTCTGTGTGCTCCATGCCAGGGTTCACACAAAGACTCAGAGCAGACTCTGGCCTGGCAAAGCTGGTATCTCCAGCTCAAGCCAAGCAGACAGGCTGGGGAACCGGCATAGCTCACCTCCTGGTAAATAAGCCTGGTGACATAAAGGGAACAGTTGCAGTGGGTTGGAGCCTGACCACCGAGCAAGTCTGCAGGGACTTCTCCCCAACTTCCACTGCCCTCCCACATGACTCACAGGTCGCCACTTCCTGTTTTGAAGGCTTCAGCTGGTACTCTGCCACCAGGGCAGGCTGTCATTTGGCTTTTCTTTGTGCCTTACGCAATTACTTGGCTTAAGTATCACATCTGCTCTTGTAAATTTGTTCAGGTAATGATGCCAGGCTTCTGTTCCCCTTACAGCAAGAGGATTGCAATACTTTCCAGTAACTTACCAGGAATCAAGAAACAGAGCTGTTTGGGCAATATGTCTGTCCCTGAAAAGATTTGAACTTAACCCAGTCTGAAAGAAGGGCAGGCTGTTTTATAACAAATGGATTCTCACAGTGTCTCCAGACTTGCCTTTCCATTCTTTTAGAATATCTCAGATTTATTTTTATCTTTGATTGCACTGAACAGGCCATTATACTGGAGGGCCAACGATAATAAAGGACCATGTAGGTCAGGCCGTGCACACCTGAGCTCCTTGACCTGGTGCCATTGCCCCCATGTGCAGGTCAATGCTAATCTTCCTGTCTGAGAAGGGGGACTGACTGAACTTCCCTAATCCTCCCATGACCTTTGTAAATAAATTGCAAAACTGAGCACAATGTAGTCCTCCAACAGAGGTAAATTAGTCCCATCTTAATGCCCTCTGGAATCCCAGCTGGTCACTAACTACATAGTGCTGTGCCTACATAACTCAATATGTGAACAGATAAAAAGAATTCTCCAAATGACCTTTTCCAAAACCATTACAGATATACCCCAAGATCAGCCTGACATAAAGAGGAGACATCCTGTCTCTGGGAAATGAGACAATCCTTGTGACCTGCCATTGTTAAAGGCTGTACCATGGGAAGTGCATGCAAGAGGCTATGCTGCCCAAATGTTTGTCTCTGGTCCCTTCTGAGTCTCACTCTTCACTGGGAAGGATGCCACTGGAATGACAAGCCTACTATGTGCTCAAGGAAACAAAGCAAGAGGCCCTGTTGTATTGCTCCAGCTAACCAAGTTCAGCTACCCACAGGGAAGCCTTCTCACTCACATAGTGGGACCACTGTGTGGAGTAAGACACATACTCACCTGATAGGTCCATTTATCTCCTTGGCTTTCCTCAGCCTGAAGCATGGTAGAGGCCTTCCACGCACAGTGAAAAAGTCTACTTCTGGAAGTGGGGGCTCTGAAAGCATTAAGAAGGAGAAAACATGGGGGGGGGGGGCAGGCAATCAGATCAAGTAAAAAACACAAAGAAAGTGGTCTTCCAGGATGCCATGAAAGTTTTTAAGCTAGAAACTGGAATATATATAATATATAATATACAATATATTATATACAATATATAATATATAAAATATATGAAATATATAACATACATATATATACATCAAAAAGGTTGTATGAATTCACTTGAACGAAACATTTAGATTAGTCAAATTCAGAGCCGACGGGTGTGGCAAGGAACTGAGTTCATTGCTTAAAGCTCAAAGGTTTCGTATGGAGTGACAAAATGTTTTGGAGACAGGTAGTGGTGATAGTTGTGCAACACAGTGACTATCCCAACGCTAATAAAGTGTTTATTTAAAAATGGTTAATGTTGTTACATTTTAGGTTATATATTTTTTCATAACACCCACAGGGTGTTGGTGTTTGCTACATCAACCATCAGTTTTGATGTTTGTTAGACAAAATCTTATTGGGTAGGTGCTGTGGTTTCAAGATGGCTTAAGGGTGTCTCACCAAAACGTCAGGCATTGGAAGCTCTGCTCCCAGAGTGTGATGTAAGAGGAACCTTTTAGAAGCAGAGTCTGATGGAAGCCCTAATTGGTCACCAAGGGTGATGCTTTTGGGAGTGACTGATGCTGGTTTCATGGAGTGAGTTAGCTCCCAAAAAGGTTGTCATAAAAGGAGCAAGACTGGACCCATCCTGCTTGTGCTTACTGCTAAGGCACATGGACACTTCCTTAAATAATCCATTACAAAGCCATCTACCAAGGAGCCCCTCACCTGGGGCCAAACTCATAGAGCAGCCCCTCCTTGAACTTTTAGCATTCTAAGGTGTGAGCTAAAGAAATCCTTTCTTTTTTCCAGCTTTGCACATTTTTATTATAAAAACAGAAAGAAGACTCATGTAGCACAGACCAGAAGGTCAGATTTCTAGATTCCTCATAGACACTGTGTTTTGTGTGTCGTGCCTCCCTGCTTCCTGGCCCTTGGGGAACCAGATTTCCCAGTTGTTCACTGACAAGCTGACCTCAGGACTATAGCATTGGTGGTTACATCTTCATGTCCTGCTCCAGCTGCCAGTCTGCCCGTAGGCATCGTAAGGACAGACTTGGCACTGGGCTTGCATGGTAGATGTGTCCTATCTAGCTATGTCACACCTTAGTGAAGCTCCCTGGCAAAGCTACCTGATGGGCAACATGTATGGACACAGTCATTTTCTCCCTCTCTTGCTATTCCTACCTCTCCAAAAGACTGTGAAAAGAGTTCCCACATCCCTGTCTGTCCACATGATTCATGAGAAGGACAGTGCTTGACTGTTGGCCCTCTATGGTCCTATCTCCCCCACCCCACTTGTTCAGGGTGTCATCCTGAACACAGGATAGATGCTTTCAGCTCACTTGCACCCTCCACTCACTAGGCAGCCAGAATCAAGGCCCGTCTGAAACCATACCTGCAACTGTCACACACATTCAACATCAAAGTTTAAAGTGGGGGGAGTCTACCAAGCTTTATTTTGTCTTGACTCAAGTTGGTTTCACCAGCAACAAAACAGGTAATGAGATCTCTAGCTTACAGCTTTCTTTTGTCAAGAAAGGGTTTCTTTCTTCTTTTTTTTTTGTTTTTGTTTTTGTTTTTGTTTTTCGAGACAGGGTTTTTCTGTGTAGCCCTGGCTGTCCTGGAACTCACCCTGTAGACTAGGCTGGCCTCGAACTCAGAAATCTGCCTGCCTCTGCCTCCCAAGTGCTGGGATTAAAGGTATGTGCCACCACTACCAGGCAAGAAAGAGTTTCTCTGTGTAACCCAGGCTGTCCTAGAACTCACTCTGTAGATCAGGCTAGCCTCTGCCTCCTGAGTGCTGGGATTAAAGGCATGTGTCATCTCTGCCCAATCTCTCGCTAACTCTTACATGGTCCCCATGTGACTAATGCTCTTGACATCTACACTTCTGACAAGTTATAGGTGAGGAAGCCAAGGGTGTAAGTTCTCTGCCCAGGAATACACACCCTGTGTCAGAGGGAGGATGCAACGCCTTCTCTGCTATCTACAGTTCTCATTTACCCCAGGGTCTCTTAAATGCCAGCTCCACCAAATCTTCCACTGGGTTTTTATATCTCCTTTCAGTGAATTAATAACATCCATTTTTAGTACACTGAGCAAAGAACGGTTTTACAACAGCCAACTCCAGGGACGTAATCCCCTTCCACAACTCTACTGTAGTATTAGAGGTTCCCCAGTGTGGCTCACACTGAGGAAGACGAAGTTAAGATGCAGAAATAATCAGTAATGTAGTGGGTAAGACCAAGGGCTCGGGCTTCTACAACTTCTGTCTCTAGCTGCCCATCTATAAAATGAGGATAAGAACAACAGCTACTTTGATCCTTAATCAGCACACTGAAAAACACAGTGCCTGTGACGTTTGGTGTGTCTTGGAGGCTCCAAGACTGCTTAAGCTCCGTGACATGGTCAGTTAGTCAACAGCTTGAAGAATGTCTCCCAGGATGACACCAGTGCTTATTTAAGGATGATTGTCAGCCAAGGGGAATGGATAACTCAGTAGGATTTGGTGCAGAAAGAAGTGTCATGGATGTCACTGACTAATCCACAAGACACTTCATTGATCCACTGTGGTCAAGTTGGGAGGATTCAGGGGAAAGGTTCTGAGTACCCCTCTCTTCATCCCTCCAAAAAGCTGAAATACTAATTCTGAGTTATTACACCAGTTTAAATGTGTTAAACACTTTCCTTGTGTTGTGTTTAAAAAATAACGTTTGTTTTGCTTTTGTTTGGGTTTTTTGTTTTGTTTTTGTTTTTTTTTTTTGTTTTTTTTTTTTTTGAGACAGTTTCTCTGTGTAATAGCACGGTCTGTTCTGGACTTGCTTTGTAGACCAGGCTGGCGTCAAACTCACAGAGATCTGACTGCCTCTGCCTCCTGAGTGCTGAGATTAAAAGTGTACATCACCATGCCAGGACTAATATTAAGTAAATTTAAGAAGCCAATTTCTCAGTAGCAGCCCCTCCCCCTCCCATACAGTTCCTATGGGGCTGTTATGAGTCTCCTAATGCTATCTGGCCTAGGCTCTAGAGAGATGATCACCATACTTAGAACTGACCAAAAGGAGTGGTCCATTTAACTCTGAGATATGACAGCACCCCATTCTTACCCTCAGCTGCAAGTACCATATAAGCCAGGAATATTCATCTTTCCAGGTCTGGGTGAAAGACCTCAGGCAGAACAGCTGAGCAAGAACAACCGGACACTGATAGTACATTTGTAGCTGGAACTTACTGTGCTTCGAGTAAGATCCCTTCCTGGACTTCCATCTGCAATCCAGCACATTCCTCTGGCTTAAGCTTTGAGTTGGTTCCTGTCATTTACACCCCAAAGGGCCTTGACTAATTTTAGAACGAATCCAGCCACCCCCATCTTCTGCTGAAGGGCAGAACACACAGCTGTATGTACATGTGAGGGAGTTCTGGAGCCAGGCCAGAAGCCGTTCTTAGGCATCTGTGTGAGAGCTCCTGTCAATCTAGGCATATCCCCAAACTCTGGGCCAATGGGCTGAGTTCTGGCAGTGGAGAGCCATATAGTGGAGGGAACAGGCAGGCATAGGTCAGATCTGAGGTTCAGGAAAGAGTTAAAGAAGACCTGAGTTAAAAGCAAAAGAGAAGGTAAACTGGAAAAGAGCAGAAAGTCAGTAGTCTAGGTATGACATGCTTTTGGTCTGAGGAAACCAATACAAGAGAAACCAGAGAGGAAGGACATGGAAGACAGAGGCCAGAAGAGCACAGGCTACACTACAGTCACCCTGTGATGCCCCTCACCAGAATTTGGAGAAAGTCTGGAAGTGCCTCACATCTGGGGAATCTACTGAGACGTATATGCATGGAAATGTCTGGAAGGAAACTAGAAATTCACATTATATCTAGAAGTGCTTCTGAAGTCACCAGACACAGCAACACAAACCATATTTCTCACTGCCAAAGCCCTAGGTAGAGGACTCACAGGAAACAGCCCCTGCTTACAGGTAAGGCTTCATAACATGCCTTTGTGAGGGCCTTCCCTCCTTTTAAGAGGACTCCAGAGAGTGATTTCACGACATCTCTGAGAAAGATGGCTGCAGAAGTGATAGAGGAAAAGAAAGTAGCCTGTGCCTGAGCAGCGAGCCCCCTCATCTCAGACTGCTGCCCTCAGGCCTGAGCGCCATCACCAGGCTGCTGGTGCTCTGCAGTAACAGAAAATAATGTCTCTTGTCTCATGTTTCCTGTGATCCAGCCCAACCGAAGAAAACGAACACATTTATTGTTCAGCCTTTCTCGCCCTCTTCTCCGTTTCTCCTCTGTTCTCCTCCAAGATAACCAGTCCTAGGTGAGCTCATCTCCCGACTGCCCTTCCAATCCCTCTAATTTCTTTCAATTTGGAGGGAACAGAACAAAGCGCACATGGCTTGGAGAAGGCAGGTCTGGGGGGACAACAGGAAGGCTATGGCTGTTGTGCTCTGAGCCACACAGTGTAGGATGCACCTTTCAGTTCCAAAGGTGCACTGTCAACTGGCAGCCAATCAACACATGATTTCCAGGTAGTTCCCTGCCTTGCTTTCATGAGGCCTTCCCCAAAGTGATCTGCTCCACACTCTACACTTCTCTGAATTATAAGAAGTGTGATCATCAATCAGCATGCTGACTCTCAGCCACATTTCGAGGTAAAGCAACCCTGACTTCCTGTTCTGTCATCACAGTGCTGTTCCTCGGCTTCCAAGTTGCTATCCTGGGCAAATCTGCCTCCTTCCCATGCTCCTCCTTACTGAACTAAAAGCAAAGCATAACAATCCTACTGGGGTAGAAAATGCAGTCCTCTCCCCTGGGTATACACAACCAAGCAGGGCCAGAGGCAGGCTTTCCATACCGTCAGAGGTTCCAGTAACGTCAACCCTCCACTAGAAGCAAACCACTAAAGAG